GCTGTGTTCTATACACAGATTCCTAAGCAGCTATCATACACACTAGTATACATCCAGGTGTATACATGTGCTATGATACACAATACCTACTTCTACTTACATTCCTATACAGATGCCATATCTATGATGTTTGTATGTATCTGTGTACTGAAAAATAAGTAATTTCCTTCTATTTCCTCTGAAGTCTGTGCACCTGTCACATCTTAATTCAAATTCTTTATCTCTCATTGAACTTATCTAGAAGAGCACCTGCTGTTAGATAAGATATCAGTCAATGCTTAACACTTAAAAAAAAAAAAAGAAATTGTCCTCAGTAATGTTATAGTAAGAGGCCCTCACATTTGATCAAAAATTCACAGGAAAGAAGCTCCAAAAGTAGCAATGTAATTCTTTATTCAAAGCTAAAAACCTTTAAAAGAAGAAATTTTGATTGCTTCAAATACACATCTCAATCAAACTGCTGAAAGCAATCCAAGACTGAAGATACTTCTCTAAGAAAAAGCCATTTTGTTGTTGTTTTTGAACTCTGAGGAAGTAAGGAATATCGTGCCTAAAACAAACCTACTCTTGGTGCTAAAGCACACATTTAGGCCATGTACTGTCATTTTACCATCTTGCTATGCATAGAAAAGTGAAGAGTTGCCTTTCTAATTCATTTTTCCCCCCTAAATCACAGGGTCTTCTTTTTTCCCCAGAGCACAACAGGGCTATTTTACTGAGTATTAATATGCAGTTACTGGCAAATGATTAAAGAAAGTAAGTTGGAAGACAACTACAGTTCTCCTAACATTCAATTTGCCAACTTAAAACAGACATTGTGAACTATAAAAACTGAAATGACTCAGAGTCTACAACCACTCATGAAGTGGAAAAATCCTTCCATGCACACAAACCAAGTATGGCCTAGCAATTTTTATGTCCAGATGAGTGTAGGCAAAATTTTATGATATTTATTTCTTATTATGTTTCTGCTTTTACCTTTTGTCTCCTCTTTTCTTTTCGCTTATCTTCAGTATCTTGTAACATTTTTTCTTTCCAAAGATCAAAAAAATAGGAAGGATCAGTATAGAACTTCAATCCATCTTTCTTATCATCCCTGTAAATACAGTAGAAGAGAAGCTAAGAAAATATGAAGCAGCATTTTTGAACTAACAAACCTTACCTTCAAATGTCATCCAAATTTATTTCCTCTACATCATGAAATGACAGGATGTCAAGTGCATGAAGTGCCACTCCTGGCAATTACAACTTGCAGTTGGCTTGACTCATGCCAGGAATTTCAGGGAAATGGGGTGAAATCCACAGCCCTTCAGGAGGCATGCTTCCTGACTGCTGACTGCTAGCATGAAATTCCTTGGTTCTACAAGATGAACAGTGCCAAATAGTAGGGACAAAATGTGTAGGGGACAGAGGAACCTAAGTTTACATGGAACACAGCTGACTCAAAAGAACTGGAAAAGGAGTATTTGGTTCAATCCAGACAAGGAAGCACAAGATGATCACCACTCTGAATGGCAGAAGAGTTAGGAAGGTGGTAGGAACTGAAGGTTGAGTTCTGCCAAACTCTTCTAGGAGGATTTGAGACAGAGCCTGGTAATTTGAATTGGCAGGAGCACTCAGGTCTGCTGGATCAGGGTACAGGGAACAGATCTTACACACACTGGTCCTACAGTGGCTAAATCCTTATTTTCTGTATGCTAGAGCTTCTCATTACTAAGATCTAACTTATTAAAGGGAGTTATGGAGCCATTCTTCCATCCCTTCAGCTTTGATCAGACTAAAAATTGGAGTTAGTACAAGCAAATAAAAATAATTTAAAACCAGTGGCTGTAAAAGACTTTAAAAATAAAGTTTAAGTAAATTTCACTAATGCATTCCTAATACAAAAGGAAGAATGCAACAGAGCTCACTGATGGTACTCTCCTGATACAAACAGCTTTACAATACACTTGATTGATAAAACACTCACTGGATGACCATAAATATAGAACACAATTGTCTGTAGCAGTGAGTAAAACAGTGCACTTCGGCTATAAATTGAATAATTTTATCTTCCAAGTAAAGGCTACAAAAAAAGAAAAAAACCAACAACACTGTAAATGTTCTATGTCATTCCTAAATAAAAAAAAAATTTCAAATAAGCTACCATAGAGCTTGAGTTCCTGCTTTACATAGATCTCACAGATCTTGTAATCCAGTACCTACTAAAAGTTAAAGGACGCAGTAAAAATATGTTTGTCCTCAACCCTTCAGGTGAAGCTGATTTCATTAACGTGTGAAATCAGGAGCAAAAAAAGACAGTGTGTGAGTGTGCACATACATACACATTGGGAGAGGGCAGGGAAGGCAAAAGCAACAACACCAAATTTCTAGATAAATAAACCAAAGAAAGCATTGTTCACTGTATTATTAATTTTCTTTTTACTTTTTACATGATGAATGGCACTTGCCCTCTGATGCCATGCTGTCATGTAATGCTGAAATACAATGACTTTTTGTCAGGTACAATCTATGATTTTCAGTGTGATAACAGCAATTTTTGTTTTCATTAACAGAGAAGTCTTCAACCAAAACAAATCTCAATAACCAACAAAGGTTTTCCCATCCAGTGTAGTCACTCTTTACATACAAACAGAAGAATGCAAGCACTCGATGTTTCCATACCTGTAAGGTGAAAGAATATTCAGAGGAGGTGGTTTGTCACTCTGATTATAAATATCAGCCACTGGGTTAGGAATGCTGTTCTTTGAAACTACCTGCTGATCTTGAATTGTTGAACTCTTGAACGCTTTTTTCATATTGATGTCCTGTAGTGATACTGTTAAAAACAAAAATACATTTAACATATATCTGAAATTAACTTCAGTGAAAATTCATTTTATGTGAACTCTTTAAAAATATCTGTAGAAAAAACATAGAAGGAAACTGAAAGGTTTGTTTGTACTTTTCAGGAGCAATCATGATATATAGGTATACAGGCATGTAAGAACTGACATAATAAATCAAATTTACATCCCACTTGATCCAGAAGTTCACTTAAAATAACAGGAACACGAACTGTATATCTTGGAAGTTGATGAAGTAATCCTGTCATATGCAGATGTGCAGTGATTCCCCCTTTTTTTCACAAGGCTCAGCCTGGATTTCTAATAGCAGAAAGCTTGGCTTCAGCCATGGAACACAAAGTTTGATATTCCTCTGTCACAGAATGGTTTATAATTCCATCTGGTATCCATCAGCATTCAATCCCACTGTAATGATTAAATTACAGCCTCTGGAATTCCTATGAGAGCATTCCACGACTTTTACTATCTTTCAATTCCCAGTGTTCCCATACAACTGATAATGTCTTTCAATCTTAAGTCTTTCTCTTCTCTCTACAGAGCGAAATAGGTTTGTACATTCCAATAACATACTTTTATTACATCTTTGCTGATACACAGCCCTGTCAGTCCTGCTAGGCTTTCTTTTGTGCTTAAAATATATTTCCCTGAGATGAAGTGTCCTTTGCTAAAAAGCTCCAGATAATGCCAATCACAATTTAACATGACTGTGTTATCTTCTATTCTTAGGCAACCTGACGTTTGGTGGGGAGGGGAGAGTGTTGTGTTTGACTGTCAAACAGAGAATTGAAGTCTTCACTGGCTTATTTACAATGACATTGTTTCTGGAATTTATTGTATACAACAAAATGCATATTCATATGCATATAGCTTATTATCGTGAAGGTGACAGCAAAAGTATACACCGAAGACAATTTATAATAAGGTCTGATTATAATCTCAGTCCATTCACTAGTTTCCCCTTTCAACAGTCTTTTTAATAACTCTCAGAACTCTGGAAACTAACAAGAAGGTATCTTGCAATACAAATGGGACCTTAGAAAAAGGAAACAAAAGCATATACAAACACAAAAAACCCCACCTCTAATGAGGACAGCATTTCCAAAAATAATGTACTTGAAAGTCATGAAGTCTGACATCACCCATCTCAACGTGGAACGAGTTCACTCTACAAATATCATCTAGTTTGCTCATATTACCACCACAACATGCCTCAAAATCTAGGCTGACTAGTGGCTCAATATGAGCTTAGCTTATGTTTCCATGTAGCTCATAAGCCCACTTCCAGTTAACATTTTTCGAAACAGAAAAAATATGCATCATGCAATAATTTCCAATCACCAGCTAGCTAGAAATGGAAAGCTAAATATTATACTATTAAATATCAATGGCACCATTTAATATTGGCATGAATAGCAATATTAAATATAACATATAAGCTTTATAATTAATACTATTAAATTTATTTCAAGTAGTATCCATTAAGAAGTGGATACTACTTACACTGTTGTCCTGATTTAAAAAGATCTCACATTTTACTATATGTCAGAAATTTTAATTTTCTGGAAAACAGAAAAAATGATTTAAGCAAGACATACATGCAGTGTCTGGCTCAGACAGGTAACTGAACATGAATGCAAACACATATTAGAGCTTTCAGGCCTAGACAGAAGTATGTTCTGCTCACTTCACTGAAGGAAGTGCTTTCAAACAATGTAATGACATCACTCAAAGTCTTCATCTTTACTGTTTATTTATGATGTTACTGTATATATATATATATATATTAATATTTTATATTTTTTGGAACACACTGCCCAGAGAGGTGGTAGATGCCCCATTCTTTGCAGACATTTAAGACAAGTTTGAACCAGGCTCTGAACAATCTGAACAATCTGATCAAGCTGTGATGTCCCTGTTCCCCCTGCAGGGAGTTGGACTAGATGACCTTTAAAGGTCCCTTCCAACTCTAAAGATCCCATGATTCTATGATTTATGATGTTAATAACCAAGTGTTTCAGCAAGTGAGGACACAGTAACAGAAACTGCTGTTTTTAGTGACCAGGACCTCCTAGAGAATTTCAGCTATTCAAAGTAGGCATGCAGTGATTCCTTAAGAAGAACTTTAAGATCTTAGGTAACTGTAGCCAGTGATCCTGAACAGACTCCAGTAAAACAGTTTGTTACCACCCTATCCTGAAATAAATAGATCTCCTGCCTCAAACTTTTTCAAATGCACTCGTCTATTTCCAGTAATGTTCAGACCTATTCACTTACAATTTATTTTATTCACAGACTAAAGTTCTCCCCATGACAAATGCAGCTTAATAGTTCCATTACTTTAGGGGTTTCATCAAATAATACTAAGTCAAAAATGAAGACAGTTATATGACCTGAGATTTTTTTTTTCCCCTCGCTCTTCTAACAAGTTTTCTTAGTAACGCAAGCTGGGAAAAATCAAGATGAAATAGTGGTTCAAGATTACTTTGAAAAGGAGAGACTGTTGTGTAATTAAATACAGTGGCCTTGTCAACATCACTCCTCGCTCAACGCCTTCATGCAATTACCTACCTTCTTCTACTGTTGAATCCAGCTGGGTAACTTTGACAGCAAGGCGATCGATTCTGTCTTGAAGGGAATTTGCTCTGATGTAGAAGCTGTTAGCCTCATTAAACAATTCACCAAATATGTCTTCAGCATGTTTACCTGTATAAGAAAACAAGCAAGGAAATCTCTTTGCTAGAGAGGTACAAATACAAGACAAATGGCTTCAATATCATCCAGTTATAATAAAACACTATGCAGGATTGTAACAGCATAGTTCTTCGTTTAGCAAAGTTTTGGGCAAAAGATTTGAACACAGTCTCAAAATATACTCTAAATCCTGAAGTCTATTCTGGACATCCAGGTTGGCCATCTGCTTAAAATAACAGAAAAAGAAAACTAACAAATCCCACATATGCACACAAAAATATGCACACAGCCTTATGCCAAGTGTCATAAGGCTGCTCATTAAAACCTGCCTCCACAATGAAAAAGAAGACTTAACATAATTGCTACTACTGCTGAAGTAAATCCAGAAAACTAAGATCTAGTAACCTATAGTCATTAACATTTATTTAATTATAGACACAAGCACAAGCCAATGTTAAAACAAAGGCAAGGTGAAGCAAACCGAAGGAGGTTCCTCAAGCAATTTGGTTTGCTCAGCTTTATGCTTACCCTACATGTTGCTCTGTCACTGAAGCCTTCTGTGAGACTGAGATGACAGTGCCCAGTTGACCATGGTCTGTCTGAACTTGACAGAGTACAAAAGAGGAATCTACGGTCTTTTCAGTCTCCCTTTCAGCTGTCATGTTTTTTTAATCACTATAACAGCACAGATCATATAACAGTCTAGATCTGTAACCATAAATCCTTTCTTAATTAAATGTGCTACAGTGGATAAGAGAGCCACATGACAAATCCAACCCCTTCTTGGTACATAGGATCTTATGTTTGCCCACCCCCTCCCTAGACCTTTCTTCTCCTGAAGTACCAGACACCATCATCCATTTCATTCACCTCCTGTCCCAGTCATTCTCTCAGCTCCATTTTTAACATTCCCCCTGCACCAGACATTCCCCTACAAATTTCAAGTTCCACTTGCCCACTAAACTGACAGTACTGCACCTACTTACGTCTCAGTTCCCCCTTCTACTCTACAAACATGTTGCTGCCATTAAATTATAATTCCACCTACTATTTCTGTATCCAGTATCTCAAGACTTCCACGCTCTGTCAGTCCCTCACGTAGCAGAGGTGCTCCAGTCACTTCTGTGTCTTCATGACCTTATGTTGGGCTCTCTCCAGTATGTCCATGCCTCTCTTGTACTAGGGGTATTCAGAACTGGACCCAGCCTGGACCCAGCACACCAAGTGCAGCCTCACCAGGGCTGAGAAGAGGAGAAGGATCACCTCCCTCGAGCTGCTGGCCACTCTTTGCCTAATGCAGCTACAAATACCATTGGCCCTCTTAGCAGTTTGTAGATTCATGGCTTCTCCTTCTTGCCTAACTGAAAACAGGCCAGACACTTGCTTTCCTCCAGTCTGCACACATCTCCAAACATTACAAAGAATGGCCTTGCAATCATATCAGCCAGCTTCCTCAGAACCTATGAGTGCACTGCATCAGAACCCATGGACTGCTGAATGTCCAGTTTGCCCAAGAATTCTGTGGCCCAATCTTCCTTCACCAAAAGTTACACCTTCCTCGCTGCAGCCTTTCCTCCTGGTCTCCGAGACCCAAGATTCCTGAAAGCCAGACTTGCAGCTGAAGACAGAAGCAAATAAGGAATTTGGAACCTCAGCCTCTCTGCCCTATGTAACCAGGTCTCCCATTTCATTCAGGAGAGGGCCCATATTTTCCCTAGTTGTTGTTACCCTTTGTAGCCTGGCCATATTCAGTTCCATTTGGGCTTTTTTCAACTCTTCAACTAAATAAAGCAGGTCTTACATTCTTCATCCACCAGCATTCTGAGCTCAAAACATCAATACATTTCAATGTATGCTAGTTTACGTTAATATGTTGAGATCAAAGACATCACCACTAGAAAGGCCACACAGATGCGTGCTTGTCTGTTATCTGTCAGTAGACAAAGTAAGTCAAAAATTGATTGTGAATATATTTTTAATAGTGATCAATTTAAAAAACAACCAACCAAACAACAACAAAAAACACTTGCCACTCTAAAGCAAGTGAAAATTTGATCAGTACCCAAACATGCACACAAGCTATTTAAGTTCCAAGGGTAAATCTTTCAACTTAAGAGTTGATTTTGGCACTGTAAGCTTTCATTTAAGAGCCATCAAGTACATCCCAATATTCAGACAATCTAAATTGTTGTTGAAAAATAATAATTACACAGTTTGTCCTTCTAAGTCTCCCCCTTCCCACAGAATCAGGTGAGGGGAAATGTAGTCATGATGCTGCCTCACCACATCCGTCTTCTCAAAGCCATTTAATGTCAATTAAAGGAGTGGCCCTTTCTAGCACTTGCAGGGGTAACCTTCACGCAGCTACATACTTGACCATAGCTTCATAGAATATCCTAGCTTGGAAGAGGCCCACAAGGATAATTATGTCCAACTCCCCGCTCCCACACAGAACTACCCTAAACTCGAACCTTGTGTGTGAGAGCACAGCACAAATGCTTCTTGAACTCTGGCAGGTTGGTGCCCTGGGCAATCTATTCCATGCCCACCATCCTCTGGTGAAGGGCCTCACCCTAACACCCACCTGACTCTCCCCTGAGACAGCTTGATACTGTTCCCTCAGGTACCATCACTGTCACCGGAGAGAATAAATCACAAAATAAATTTCCAAGCACCATTAAACATTTCTGGAGGTTGGGATTTCCCAAATAATTGAAATCATAACACCTCTATTTAAGTTCTGCAGCAATTACATGGAATGCCATCATGACGCATCAGCTTACAACATCCCTAGATGTGTTGTAAGGTAAAACTTGCACATGGGTCAATGAAAGGAGCTCTGTACTGGCTACAACTTATATTTGTCTGGAAATAAAATTTCAGCCTCACAGGCAGTGTATGAATCAATGGAGAAGTCAAAGATAAAGAAACATGAAATATTTAAAGACTCAAAGAAAGGAAAGTCGAGCAGTCATAATGTCAACTTGAAGTAACAACTGTTAATGTACAGGATAAGATCTAAATAAGATCTAATCAGGAAGTGTTCAATACAGAAGTATATTTATGGCTTTAATACTTAGCCTTCAAAGGTAATCAGATGTAATTATTTCTTAGACATAACCTTAAGTCAGTAACAAAACCACAGTGCAACAGATCCTGTTGCAGAGACCAGTTTTTTTAATTGGCAAGAGCCCTGCTGCCATCAGTCCAAACTCCAGTGCCAAAAGTTACAGAGTATTTGTGGATGGTGTTTCCTCAAGGTCTTCCCTCTGTGTTTTACCCTATGAAGCGAGCATCATACTCACAAATACAGGCTGCAAATCCTTACAAGTCCTTCTACACGGTAGATTCTCTTCCTCTAAGTGGAGGTGAATCCCGTAGTCAAGCTTTTGCCTTATGTAAGGAGCACATTTTCACATAGAACTCTGCTTACTCTGCCTGTGCTCCAAGCCAGCTGGCTGCAAACAAACCCAAATCTGAAGTCATAATAGAAAAAAAAGCTCCATTGAGATCACATTCCCTTTGGATAAGTGCTTGTTCATGTCTCCTGAAAAGAGCAGAAGCAAGCCAAATTTGTAAGCAATAGCACAGATTTGCCAGCTTTTAGAGTCTACAGTGGGCTTACAGTGAAACATTAAAACAAAGTACAACTGCAAGAAGGACTTGCACTTGCTCTCTCCATGCTTCATACTGTGGGAATACCCATAAGCTCTGATACTGTCAGCAAGACATACTACATTAGCTCCAGCACAATATTTTTCTACGATCATTTTCTCCCAGTTGGCTTGAAACGGGAAAAAAAAAACCACCAAGTGCTGTCTGAAAAAAATGCTCTGCAAACATGACGAATTTTCCTGTTAGACTGTAGATAAGTCTGGTTGTAAGACCTCACTCATTAAAAATCACATTCATCTGTTAAAACAAACGACGCATTTCTTATCCACATAGGTCTTTAACTGGATCCTAATGAAGTACATCAGGGCTGTCTGAAGGGACTTCTGATAACCTGAGAAACCTGCTAAGCAGTAGGCATGAATTGTTTCTCAGCTAGTTCCTCACCAGCAGACATACGAGGATGTGAATACACAAGGCAACAGATGAATTAGCTCCAATGCTGTATCTTGAGAAGTGAAAGCTAGACATTCCTAGCAAGATTTAACAAGCCAGAGATGTAAAGGAACTATTACCCACATTCTGGCAATCATTGTACAACACCAAAATGAGGTCAGATACCCTTGAATGCCATCAGGAAATATCAACTGTTCTTCTCCACTTTCTGAAACTCAATACAGAACAACCGCCAAATGAAATAGCAATTGAAGGTAATGATAGTAAATGCAAATATACATTAACTACAAATAACTTTAAGCTCTAAATTAGCGGCCACTGCTCAAAAACAACCAAACATTTGACAACCACTTAGATACTCCCCTGAAAACGTCAACTCAAAAGTTCAGCAGCAGTCCAAAAACAACATTCCTTAAATTTTCAGGGAATTAATGACAAAAAGTCACTGTGACACTGTTTGGATTACAATGCTACTCCACATTTTAAAAAAACCCTCTAACTTCAATCTTCCAGACAGAAATAAACATCTACGGAATTACAAAATGATTTCACTCCTAAAAAAAAATGTTAACAGTACAGGACACTCCAACTTACAGCACATCACCAGGAGGATGATAATGATTTAAAAATAACAGCTAATAGCAGAAAAACTTGGAAGGTATCCACTTTCCATTATGTTTCAAAGGTATCAAAAGGAAGAAAGGGAACAATTTCTATTGTGGGACATTTTGCCACAGGTCATTGTGCATAAAAAATTCAGAATTCTATTTGAGCACATCTAAACAATTCCAAAGATGATAGGTTTACAAAAGCTTGCTATATAAGATGATTCAGATAAACCTCCAGCTCAGAAAATCCCTAAATCACTGACCACTGGAAAGCAGAACACAATGTTATCTGGTACTCTCTCCATAAGCACAGGCTATTTAGTATCACCACAAACTGAACATCAGTCTAGTGGGATGCATAGTCAAACCACACACACTTTAACAAACCATTTACATTTGCAAAGTGAAAAAAATGATGAATTGATTGTTTCTTTTCTTGTACCAGAATTATCAGCACAAACAACAGCTGCTGGCTGTTAGATGCTTTCTGAAGAAGTCAGATTTCTCATTATTAAGAAGCATTATTCTCCTTGCAAGCAATCCACACTTGCTGCTAGAATTGCTAGCTGCAGCATCAGCTGAGAGGTGTACTGTGCAGGCTGTTCTGTGTGGAGATAATGCTAGCAGTAGCCTGCGGATTTGTTCATGGCAAATTCCATTCTTTCAGAATGTTTAATTTTGTTCATATTATTTGACCAGACACACCAAAAAAAAAAAAAAAAGAAAGGCCTGAGAAATAATAATACCTTAAATAAACTGAAATTTCAGTCAAATCTGTTATTTAATGACAGGAGGCAGAAGTTTGCTGTCTTCGTCTTGGACAACTGCAAGCCAAGAACAACTGAAGTGCTAGTTCCACACCTGGCACCAATTTCTCACACCTCAGAAAAAATTCCTATGTCATACTTGTTTCTTCCTTACACTTAAAAATCTCAGAGAGGCTCTGCCTGCATAAAAATTTAAAATATAGAAGAGAATAAAAGCAATGAAGTAGCATAATACTACTTTATTACATAGGTGGCAACATCCTGAATCAGTTTTGCTATTACAACAAGCTATTTTAGAGCCTTCCATTTGTTTTCAACAGGAAGCTGGAACTTAAAAGAAGTTGCAGATACTTACTCAAGCTGCTTAGCTGGCGTATGATAGCAGCAAGGGTGCTATTCGTTACACATTCCAGCTCACTAGTAATTCCCTCTGGTAGAGCTCCTCGGCACAGATGCCTCGGTTCAATGTTTCTTTTTACCAAAGGCATGGCTTACAACCTGGAATTTACAGAAAAAGAGAGACTTCTTTTACAACAGTGGAAATAAGAGCCATGAATTTGTTCAGCACACATTCAGCTTTTAATGCAAAACATACTTCACCTTTCTTCTTTTAAAGCACTTGCTTCAGCCTTCCCCTCGTAAGATGTTGTACCACTTCTACAAAGGCAAAGGAGTCACGTGCTCAAGTCAGAATGTGACAAGAACACAGAGCATGCGGTCAACACAGACAACACACACCAATTCCAAGGCAAGAAGTATGCTATTTACTGCTATGCAGACCAGTGCTACAGTATGCCAGTGCTTCGCAGAATCATTGGACTTCAGCACACATTTGCATTTTAAAAACTGGCAGTTCCCCCTGGACTCACAGGAATGAATGCTGTCTGCAGAGAGCAGCTCACTGCCTTGGCACAGAGCGTTTGCCCAGCGGGCCACAGACTGGTCGTCCACGCACTACAGCCCCATAACTGCGTCAGGTGCTGACCAACCCTCATCCCAACAGGTTCTCTACCAAAATGATGCACTCATCTGACAGATAAGGGCATGACACCTGAACAGAAACATGCCGGGTGCGAATGTGGGAGAAGTTCTATGTGATGAGAAAGATTGTTTTCCATTGGTATTGTTGGATGACAATTTGAATGAGGCAATAAAATGTGTTTACCACAGTCTAGACATGTGCCAGATAAGGGAAGACATTTTTCTGAGAGAACAAAGGCCATTAGAACTGGTCATCTAGGGGATCAAAAACAAACAAACATATACACAGAATACATTAGGGAAAACTAGTGGAACTGAATACTTCCTTAGGCTTAACCAGCGTGGAGGGAAGTATGATGCTGGAAACAGAAAAACAGATAACAAGCATTTCAGGAATCAGGTGAGCAATTAGTGAATGCAGAATGCTAAATTCTTTAATGAACACTTTTTTAGCCTAAGTTCTACAGAACCATTCCCAGATGAAAAACATGCAGAGATGGACTTCCAGAGATAGGTCATTTGCTTTAGTTGTATTTTCTATTGCTGTTTCCAGCCTTCTAGAACAAGGCCCGCTTGTAACTCCTGTTACAAGAAACTGAGCTAGTCTCTGTATCCAAAAGAAACAGCAGCAAGTTTATTCCATTCTGATTAATTTACGCATTAAGTGTAATTATGTAGGCTAAGATGCTGTATTTTCCAAAGAAATGGAAACCACTCATTATAAAAAACCTCAAGGAATTAAATAAAGGTTCTTTGAGAGTTACCTCTGAGAAACAGCAACAATGAAGTTGAGAGCTTGTGGGTTAAAATTAGGGATCAGGCCAATACAGGACATCTGATGGTTGTGGTTTATAGGGGTTTCCTGATCAATGACAGACTATTGACAAAGTCTTCCTACTTCAGCTAATAGGAGCACCATGCTTGCAGGCTCTCATCCTGATGGGGGATTACAAACACCTAGATTTCTGCCAGGAAAACAACACGGCAGGCTAAAGCAATCCAGGAGACTCCTGGAGTCCATTGAGGATGACTTCCAGGTCTAATTATTTGACAGACCAACCAGAGGTGAAGCGTTACTGGACCTGATGCTCACCAATGAAGAGAAGATCATGAAAGAGATTAAGAATGGAGGCAGACAACATGCATCCCAAGGTCCTGAAGAAATAGGCTAGTATGGTTGCCAAATCATTCTCCAACATATTCAAGAAGTTATGACTGTCAAGTGAAAACCCTGGCAACTAGAAAAAGGGAAACATCACTCCCATTTACAGGAAAGGAAGAAAGGAATACCAGGGAAACTACAGGTTGGTAAGCCTAATCTCTGTGCCTGGTAAGATCATAATGAGGATCCTCTCAGAAGATACGTTCAGACACGTGCAAGATGAGGAGGTGATCCAAAATAACCAGCATGGCTTCACCAAGGGCAAATTGTGTCTGACCAGTCTGGTGGCATGCTATGATGGGTGATGGCATCAGTGAACAAAGGAAGGACAACTGAAGCCATCTGCTTGGATTTGTACAAAGCTTTTGACGTGGTCCCACACCACACCTTCATCTCTGAATTGGAGAAATATAGATTTGAAGGCCTGACTATCCTACAGACAAGTAATTGGTAGGATGGTCACAGCCAGGGGGTTGTAGTCAACGCTCTATCTCCGGGTAAAGACCAGTCAAGAGCAGTATCACCAGGGATCCATCTCACGACTGATGCTCTTCATCATGACCTGGACAGTGGGATTGAGTGCACCCTCATCAAGTTTGCAGATGACACTGAGCTGACTGGTGCAGATGGCACAATAAAAGGAAGGAATGCCATCCAAAAGGACCTGAACAGGCTTGAAAAGTAGGCCCATGTGAATCTAAAGAGGTTTCACAAGGCCAAGGGCAAGATCATGCATTTGGCTCAGGGCAACCCATAATATGTGTAAAGAAAAGGAGAATTTACTGAGAGTAGCCCTACAAAAAAGGACCTGGGGCTCCTGATGGATGAAAACTAGCCATGAGCCAGCAGCGTGCTTTTACAGCCCAGGAAGGCCAACAGTATCCTGGACTACATCAAAAGAGGGGTTGCCAGCAGGGTAAGGGAGGGGATTATCCCACTCAGCTCTGCCCTCATGAGGCAGAAGTTACCTGGAGTTCTGTGTCCAAGCCTGGGGCTCTCAGCACAAGAAAGATGCGTAACTGTAGGAGATGGTCCAGAGGAGGGCCACAAAGATGAACAGGGGGCTGGGAGTACCTCTATTATAGAGAAAGATTGAGGGAGCTGGGCTTGTTTAGCATGGAGAAGAGAAGGCTCTGAGAGGCCACACTCTGACCTCCCAGTACTGGAGAGGAGCTCATAAACAGGAGGGAGAGTGACTTCTTACACAGTCTGATAGCAATAGGACAGGGGGAAAAGGGAGATTTAGGTTAGATGTTAGGAAAAAATTCTCTACTCTGAGTGGTGAGGCTGCCCAGAGAAGCTGTGGATGCCCCATCCTTGGGGTGTTCAAGGCTGGGGTGGATGGGACCTTGGACAGCCTGATCTAGTGGCTGACAACCTGGTCCACAGGAGAGGGGGGAGAGGGGTTAGAACTACATGGGCCCTAGGTCCCTTCCAGCCTAAGCCATTCTATGATTCTGTGGTATCAGTCTATGATTCCCAGGCTCGTGTTCTGCAGTGAATGCAGTTACTACAATGGTGTTCCACTGAGTTTCATGTTCCTCTGCCATCTCAGGTTATTCTTGAGCCCCAGTTTATTACTAGCAGAGAAATTCATTCTGATTATCTGCCACTACAATAAACATGTTGAATCAGGTACGTGATAAACCACATTGACCACATCTGGATTTTATAACAGTTTTAATACAGTTTCTCTTCCCATCCACCCCCCAGATAAACAGCAAACAAAACAAAGACTTGTTATTAATTTCAAGACATGTACCAGTTCAGAAGGTTAGGACCAATCACAAAAGACTATGTTTCACTTTAGCTAAGTAGATACCACAATCAGAGACTTGCACCTAAGATGAATGGGACCAAGCCTCAGGTGGGCATCACACAACTCCTGATCCAGAAGCCTGTCTGCACAGTGCGTACACCATCAGTCACACTGAACACAAATTCACACCTCTGCTTCAAGCAAACCAGGGATCAGCTTCCATATGGTGCCACAGCATCAGCCCACCCTCTGCATCTGGCACCAGAGATGAAGGGCCCAGAAAGCAGTTCTGAGGCTGCACCAGAAGTATATGAGACACGAGCACCAGACCTAAGAACAAGAATAGAAGTAAACAGGTGAGAAAGGAAACAAAAGGTTGGATGTCACTTAACATCTCCTGAAATCCATCTGTTTGATGCTGATCAGAAACAACAGCTCACAGGGCCAAACTGACCCGAGCTCAGACACTGCTCAAACCCTACAGACAACAGCAAGCACAGTTAACTTAATTTCCATGCACATTTGAAAAGAACAGCACATCAGAAACTTGAATTAGCTTAGATCAGTCCATTAAAAATTTGCATTAGATACATTCCCTCAGTATTCTCACTTCCTTTCTCTTTTTTTTTCCCTTGCTCATAATAACTTAGGCTTACGTTTTAAAATTAGAAGGCGCTTAGCAACAGTTACTGCCTTAGAGGTAAGCAGGTAAAGACAGAGATAACTAAGGAATTGGTGCTTCTTTTCCTAGGCTTTTCCTGCTCTTGCAAAGCATCCCCTCCCCCAGGTCACTTCTGACCACCTTCCTGCAGCCAGCAGATGTTGAACTGCATGCAGGGAGCTTGACATTGCCTTGGCAAGTCAGATTTACAAATCAAGTAGAAAGCAGATGTACAGTAACAACGATGAAAGAAGACAAACACAATGTACAATCTTTCTAAACAACAGCAGAGCACGGCTATTATAAAAGGCAAGCTGAGTTTTCAAGTGTTTGACCAACTGGCAAAAACTCAAACCAACAGCTGCGCCTAGAATCTGCCTTTGCCTTTCCACATCTCCCAAAAGGCACTGTCATTTACACTAAAAACATACCAACAGAATAATAAAAAAAAGGAGCTGATTTTGTGATTCTTATAGTATTCAAGTTCTTTGTATGTTCACTAATAATACAAAGTGAATGCCAGTTCATTATATAGTCCCTTTCCTTGTGAATGTCTCCTTATTTTATTTCCTCAAAGACACTGTTCAATGTTTTTATTATTATTCTTAAAAGGAGGCTTTTTTCTTATGCCCTCTAGTAGAATATAAAAAGCTGAACATATTTGCCCCCAAAAAGAGCTTTCCATACATTCATCCTAATTCTCTCTGAATATGTAACTTTTAGGAGGTTTTACTACTTTCACTGACGAATCTCACAGCCCCCTGAAAAAAAAGAACTACCATAATTCTCTTTCTGTAGAGAAGAGATGGATTGAATAGGATGCCTGTTGAAAGCGATGGAGTTTGATATTACACAAATGTATTCAGCAACTACATTCCTCACGAGAGGTCCACAGAAGCCAAGAGAACAACTTCTTTGTTGCATCCGTCAGTAGA